TATTAATTCTGGCGCTATGACAACACTATTTATGATTTTATATAATAACATTAAATCTGTTATAGTCCTACGATGGTATAAGGATGTCATTTTAAAATGTTCTAGCCTATTTGCGTAATCAAGATCGCGCGAACAGGTACTATCTTTATAGACTAAATACCTGGTAAAACTTCTCTGAACTCGTTCTATTCTATCGATATGGCACTGATACATTGGGTTCCAAACTGGAGAGGCGTATTCGAGCACACTCCTAACGTATGCGTTATAGAGTATTTTTAAAGGCAAAACGGCTTGGAAGTCCCTGCAGCACCTTTTAATAAATCCGAGAGTTCTGTTAGCTTTAGCGACCATGTTATCAATATGGTCTATAAATGAAAGCTTAGAATCTAAGCGAACACCTAGGTCGCGTATACTGGACACCTCTTGCAATAACACATTCTTTATGTAATATAATGAGGGTAAAGGCCGAGATTTTTTTGTGAATTTGATATGTAAGCATTTTTTCACATTTAAGACCATTCTGTTTGATTCATACCATTTATCAATAGAATTTAAGTCGTCCTGTAACAATTGAGCATCAGCTAAGCTCTGTATACATTTATAAATTTTAATATCATCGGCAAACATGGAGCAGTTGCTGTTCTTTATAACATTCACGATGTCATTTACAAAGGCTAAAAATAGTATAGGACCTAGGTGTGAACCTTGAGGCACGCCAGACGCAACAGCAAAAGGCTCCGATTTGTACCCACTCGTAACTACGCACTGTTTCCTGTTGCTGAGGTAAGAGCGAAACCAATTTAGGATCACACCATGCACACCATAGCTAGACAACTTCTTTACTAATATGTTGTGGTCCACCTTATCGAACGCGCTGCTAAAGTCGGTATAGATAGCATCTACTTGTAGTTTAGAGTCCATGGAAGTAGAAATGTCATTGACATATGTTACGAGATTGGTTATTGTGGATTTCTTTTTACTAAAGCCATGTTGTTGGTATCTTAGAACGACGTCCAAGTGCGATGTAAGGACCGGAGTTACTAGGGATTCGAAGAGCTTAGCAAATGTACAAAGTAATGATACAGGACGATAATCTTTTATATTCTTTCGATCCCCTTTTTTGAATATAGGTACAATGTTTGCAAATTTCCAACGATCGGGAAAGGTGCCAGACGATAAAGAGGCGTTAAATATAATGTTTAATGGAAGGGCAAGGTATTGAGCACATTTTACAATGAAAAAAGGCGGTATCCCATCGGGTCCGCATGCTTTATTAATGTTCAGTTTTTTAATAGCTGTTATTATGTCTGTTTCTGTTAATACTAAATTAGTTAGTGTGTTTTGTGGAAATACACATTCGCTTAATGTAAACTCCTGAATCGGGCTATCAATTGTCGGTGTGAAATTTGAAGAGAAATGCTTAGCAAATAATTCACAAACATCAAATCCGGAGGAAGCAGTAGCGTTATCCAGTTCCATTTCAGAGGGTAAGGTAGATGTAGTTGACTTACATGATTTTAAGTAAGACCAAAAGCACTTAGGGTTAACTCGGATGTTTTGTTCTATTTGCGATATATAATTTTTGTAGCATCTTTTTAGTAGAGCACGTACTCTTTTACTCAATAACCTAAATTCAGACTCGTCCCGGGGATTCTTATAAGTCTGGAAACGGCGCCTAAGTTTTTCTTTTTCTTTTATCGATCTTATAAGAGATTTGGTAAACCACGGGGGGTATTTACTCTTACAAGGATCAGTCCTGGGAACTGTTGAATCTATTAATGAATTTAAAGTGTCATAAAATAAAGAAAGCATGAGATTTACATCCGAGCCACAAGACTTAAAAATATCTAGCCAGTCAATTATTTTCAATTTTTCAATAACTGCATCGTAATCTGCTTTGTAAAAGTTAAACTTAGAGACGCTCTGAGACTTTAATGTAGAATATTTAATGAATTGAAAAGCAATTTCGACCGGCGGATGATGTTCATCTACGTTGGAGATAGGATCTAGACATTTGTTCACGATGCATCCACCTACACTACTGTTGCATAAAATTAAATCTAATATTTTGTTATTACAGTTAGTGATGCTATTAAATTGTTTGAGACCATTTAAAGATAAAAAATCTGTAAAGGCATAACCCGTGTTGTTTTGGTAGTTATTGGGCGAGAGCCCGTTCATCGCAATAGAAAAATCGCTCCTCCATTCAATAAACCCCAAATTAAAGTCCCCAATAAGAATTGTTGGATTAGCTGTTTCTTGCAAGATACTTGAGACTTTGTGCAGAAAGTTATCTAAAGTTAACTGAAGCACGGGAGGAGGCAGGTAGACAACACCGATATTAATGCTTTTAAATTCCTTATTATGACTAAAACTTAGGCGAATCCACAAATCTTCCACATCGCTTTCCCATTTAGACATTCTCGTTGACTTTATTTTTGAAGATACCGCAAGAAGTACACCACCACCATCTTTACCCGCTAGTGCTGTCGTACATCTGTCCCTCCGATATATGCAATATTGAGAATCAAAAATTTCACTATCACCTACTCCTGAATTGAGCCATGTCTCCGTGGCTGCTATAACATTATAGGTTTTAGTTGATGCTGTCAATTTTACATCTCGCAACTTAGTACGTATACCTCTAAAATTTTGATAATATACAGTAAGGATACTGTGCGAAGGACTATTATCAATACGAGTGCATTGATTTTGTGGATACTTATTGTGGTTTGATGTCATCAGAACTTGTAATTATTTATTCTTGAAGGACTTTCAACGAATCCAAGTTTCTAATTTGTTTTGCAGGAGCCCCTTCGTGCTTACGCACGAGGATTCTTCCGTCACGCACCCAGACGAATTTAAATCCCTTCTCCCGAGCAAATTTCCGCGTTTCAGCGTGAAGAATTTTGTTCGCTGGTGATAAATGCTCTGCCACGAAGACAGGACTAACCGTACCGCCGTAACCGAGATGCTGAGAGCTTAATTTACCGTCTTTGTTAGCTCTATTAAATTTGGTAACTGATGCCAACAAATCGTCTCTGGCTTTAATGCTGCTTAGCTTGACGACAACTGCTCGAGGTCGGTTGCTATTCTTGTCTGTCTTCCTGGTTCGTACAACTGACACTATATCGCTTTCTTTGATACTTGATGACACGATGCTTTTCAATTGAACGACAGTGGTAATAAGATTCTCAGACTTGTTCTCCGGCAAGCCGGTTATTTCTATATTATTTTGTCGTGATTGCTGTTCTACAAAGGTAAGTCTAGTCGATAAGTCCTGCACTGTTGACCGCAATACCCTGTTCTCGACTTCTAACTTAAGGTACTGATCTTTGCTCGAGTGTATTTGAGTTTGGAGGCCGTCACACAGACTACTTAGAGCTGCCACTCTTTCTCCGATTTCGCGAAGGAAAGCCAGGTCTTTTGACAATTCCGCGAATTTCTTGTCGAACTTCTCAAACTGTCGAGCAACAGCAGATTCGATTGCTTGTAATATACCTGTATCAACAGGTGAAGATTGTGCCGAGCTTGAACTCGCGTCTGTGACGGTTTGAGGGGTGCGTGACTTTTTGGACGAGCACGCCGGGCATACCCACTCGCGTGGTGCTTTATTTGTACGTGTCAAGCGCGCACATTCTCGATGATATTGGGAATCGCACTTACTGCAGACAATTATGTCTGTCCCCGTAGTGGGTAAGAACTTCCCACATCCTCCGCACTTTGCCATAACGAGATTACAAGAAAAATCACTGTAATTAAGTGAATTCAACGAGACCAGTTACGAGCTAATGTAAATACATAAACAAATAATACATAATTTTATAATAGTGACAGTGAGACAGCAACCATTTCGTAAATAATTTTTATCAAAACGCAAAAAAAAGAAAAAAAAATTACAAATTAAACAAAAAAAAAACCGTAAATATTTTTTGCAAAAACACTGAGAAAGAATATAATATTTTAAAGATTAACAAAAATAAATTAATTTTTAAATTGACAATTTTTTTCTTTTTTTTTCCAACAAAACAAAAAAGAAATTTATATATCTAACTTTTTTTCTTTATATATTAGACAAAAATAACTTTCATCAAAAACACTAAAAAGTATTTAATTTTTCTAAAAGATTAACAAAAAGTCAACAGCTTCTCGGGCCCGAACCGCCGTACTTGTAGCCGCGTACTAAATTATATATGTGGTGTTCCAAACGATAAGCCACGCCGATAGTTCTCAGCGGAGCGAAATTGCAAGTGTGCTTTGAAAAACTTTGTTTATCGACGACGTGACTTGCAGATTTGAAATGTACGTCATTGATTACACCCGCACTATTCACACTCGAGCACAAGTTTTTAACTGATCTTCCACAACACTAGACCTGTAGCTATCTCCTTGCAAACGTTAGATTCGACAGAAAAATGCACAAAATTATTTATTTCTTGTGTTTATTATCACTTTTCAAAGCAGAATTTGCTGCACTTGACTGCCGCCACAATATATTGGGAACAAACTGTTATCTTGCCGATTTCATTGGAAATCACAATAGCACAATTTGCACTGTGAGTTTTGATCCACACTGTACGGTTTATTTACAGATTATTTGAGTTTTACTATTTAAACGTTTAAATTAAGCGCAGCGCGATGCGACGTGTGCGCCCGCGCGCTAACGGCCCGAGGACCGACCCCTGTGGAACACCGCACGACGTCGCCCTCTGCGACCAGCCGGCGCTGGTCGGGTACGCGACCGACCGCTCGGAGAGGTAGGCCGCGACGATTCTCCGCAGGTATAATGGGAACCGATGGAATCCCAGCGCCTCCCGGATGGTTTCCCAGGGCAAGGTGTTGAATGCGTTGGCGATGTCTAAAGACACCGCCACCACCACCTCACCCCGGGACTCCGCGTCTTCCGCAAGGGTCCTCACCCGCGCTATGGCGTCCAGGGTGGACCTACCCTTGCGGAAGCCGAACTGGTTGGCGCTGAGATTCGGGCCCACACTCTCCAGGTGCTGGACGAGACGAGCAGCAATCACCCGCTCGAAGAGCTTGCCAATCTCGTCCAGCAGAACGATCGGTCGGTACGCCGACGGTTCAAGTGCCGGGCGGCCGTCTTTCTTGAGCAGGACCAGTTTCCCCTTCTTCCACTCACTCGGGAACTGGCCCTGCTCCAGACAGGCCCCGA